CACACACACACACACACACACACACACACACACACACACACACACACGCACACACAGCCTCATCTATATACACCTATAGCTGCTCTTTGTTTGAAATGGACATGTTCATCTATGACATTCATTTTATGTCATTTATTGTTTTGGAACTATTTCAGAATAGTTACACTATTTACTGCAGTATACAAATATTCACACATTTGGAGTATTTTATGTGCAATTCTGACCCCCACAAATTGTATGAAACTTAGAAAACAAACCAGAATGTAAACCGTAATACATTCTTGCCCAAACCTCCCTTATTGATTTTGGGCAAGATGTGCCTCAGATGACTCAGAAACTGTGCTCCCATGCTGCTGTGTGATAAATGACATGCACTCTGGCAGGTGTAGAATATGTCTGAATCTGGCCCAGAGTCTTTTACAGCAGAATGACACTGCACATACTGCACATCTAAGAGTCTGGGCTACTGCGATCCTAAGACCTTGTCCAGGTTTATCTCTAGGCTGAGGGGAAAATCTCAACCTTTTGTGTAGGTTAGCTAACTTGATGCAAGTCTCTTCTATTACGACTTCAGCTCATTCAGGCCTGGCTAATACCATGTGACGGTTTTACAAGCAGTTTTCACCGTAAAGCTTTCACACACTTCTAAACAAGTGCGGCAAAGTTTGAGAAAATGTGTTGGATCCAGTCAGACCCTCTCCTGGAAAGGGAAATGTCTCGTATCTATGGGGTGTCATGGATCATTCTTAAAAACCTTGTCTCTCATAATGGGAGGATGATTACTATCATTATTCAGTCGAGCTGCCTGAGCTGACAAGAAGTGGGAGGCACTGTGGGTTAGTCAAATAAGCAAGGAACATGATGCTATGTGAGTACAAGGTAATAAAGACCAATATACTGGAATATAAAGGAAGGGTTACAGGAATGCTGATTATATTGTCTCTGAATGCACATAGACATCTGAACACAGAGAATTAGTGATGTTGATAACCATGAAAATAGAAATACTGCATAAAGTTACAGTTACTATTCTGTAACTAAGCACAGCATTTAATTCCCATGAGGTATAAATGACAAATGTATCATTCATCTTCTTCCAGACAGGTACTTTTACCTGAATAATGTTAACATAACATATAGACAAAATAGAATATATATATATAATTCCTATAGCTGTGATACAATATACAGTGTGTAGAGTGATGCAATATCTACAGTAGCTGCACGTTTCACTCTTTCTCTTTCAGTTTTCCTACTTGATGGTATGGTCCCAGATCTTGACGGTCCAGTCTGAACTGCAAGAGATGAAAACCTTTGGGTGGAAGTGGTTCCACCTTATTGCCTCCACTGCCGTGCTGTGGGCATCATACGTCTCCAGGAACTGGCTTGAGTACGTTTTGGAGCACTAGAGAATAAAGGCATCAAGGCAAATATCAGTCTTGATTTGGGCCAAAGTTGATGGTATAAACACAGATTTGCCTTTAAAATACCATGTGATAGCGCACCAGTCCAGTATTAAATTAAATTAAAGTTTCTGTGGTAACACCGTTCCCACTCAGCTTAATCAAATCTTGATTGTAATCCAAACTGTTGTTAGTGTTTCTATATTGTGGTTAGTAAAAACAAATTGTGTGGGAATAAAAGAAAAAAGAGGCCTAACTAGACATCAGTATGACTCAACAAAGGTAGAAGTATTTGTGACTAGTAAACAGAAGGAAAACATTTTTTTTTTAACTTTTAACTTGAATTTGTGATCTACTTTTGTTTTCTGAGGAACTCTTAGAAGAACTAGATTAAAATATATATTTCTTGAGAATGCTTTATATATCTGAGCACATGATAAAAAGTGGATGGAAAAGTCTTGCTGTGACATCGCTGATTGGAGAAAGGCTTGAAGTCAAATATACTTGACCGTTTTAACCTAAAGAGAACAATATAACCTTCTCTGCTTCAATGTTGAATTGCCCTACACATTTACAGTTTGTTTGCAAATGACAGAATAGGGTTTACAAAAGCACCAAAACAGCAGCAGAGTTAGATTGCAGGGATACATTGACTGGACAATCTAAGATCAAACAGCTGGACAGCTTGTGGGGACAGATGTTGCTCTCCAAAGCACTGACAGCTTGATTGTTTCCTGCAGCGAGGTGAAAGATTCTTAATCTGGCCTCTCCCGGGGTTTCTGTGCCACTGAACCTTGAGGTGACAGACAGAACGTATTTTATCACACATACCGGCTGTGTGTCTGCTCATATGTCTGCAAGGAGGGTTAGGTATATGAAGTGATTTCTCAGGAGTGCAGCCATGGTGTGTCCCTATATACAGCCAGTAAGTATCTAAGCCACAGCCATCGTAGGAAGTAGACAAATCAGCCTGCTGCTTCACTTGTGACCTTAATTGTGTCTTGTAGCACAAAGCTACCAACATGCAATCAAAAAGGCTTTAAAAGTGTTTGATTACGATTAAGACTAATGAATAAGATAATCATGGATGTTATTGCATTTCAGATTGTCTAAGTCAGGAATTCAGGGATAATATTTGTCTGATATGAAAGGAAACTGATCAAATCTTGAATTAAATCTTGTTTAAGCATCTTCCCCCTCCTCTCCTCTCTCCCCGCATCTCTTCCATGGCTGGAGGTGAGGAAAGGAACCGAGGAGACACGATAGTATATTGAAAAGCACCCTATGTGTGTGTGTGTGTGTGTGTGTGTGTGTGTGTGTGTGTCGTCCTGGAAAAAACTTCTGTAGCCCCAACTACCACAGAAGCCGGTTTTAGGCCCCCCCCCCCCCTCCTTTCTTCTTCCCTCAAGCACTAGATTTAATTTTATAAACATCAGCCGATATCAATGATGTGTGCATTAGTCACTGAGCTGTTTTGAATTGAATGAGGACACGGTGGGAAACCGGAAAACGATTGAGACTTTTATGAGTGTCTTTCTGCCGATGGTAACAAGAAGATGAGGAAGAAAAGCATAGAGGAGGTGGGAGGCCAGCCAAAAACTAGCAGCTGCCTGATGTGGACAGAGAGAGCCTCTGCTTAAGGAGGCTCATTAAACGCTTGATGTCAAGCCTGCCGGGCTCCCAACGCACCACATGGACACACACACACACACACACACACACACACACACACACACACACACACTTAATAGGAACTTCCTAGCATGTGCACCCTCTGGAGTGCAAGCCCAGCACGATATCTATAAGTGCACCTCAAACAAAATGAGCTTCCGTTTTTCAGGGCAGACAGTGTGAAGACCCAAGATGATCCTAATGTCATTTAGGGGTGGTGTAGAAAGAAAACACATTTTAGGGATAAGGCTTTGCTGCACAACATCAGCAGAATTTTTTAATGACTTTTCAAAAGTAAATAAGTTAACTAAAGTTAACTTCGAAAAACATTTTCTTTGGTTCTGTATGTATACATAGTGCTTTGTGGTTAAAACTGGCAAAAGATAAATATTATATATATAAATATTATATATAAGATATTATAAATTATACCATGATTCTTACAAATCATCTTTTGGTCACATGAGATACATAATACGGTTTATTCCCACAGTAGTATATTGAGCGATAGTAAACATATTGGGCATGTAGTGCAAAGTATGTGATTCCGGATGCAGCCTAGGATTTAAAAGCAGCTTAAAGGTACATTAGGTCAGGGCTAGAGAAAAGTGTCGCCTGTCAAAAGGGCCCAGTAGATTTATTACTGACCCTGTTTAAATAGTTGTTTTATCGCCTTTAAATTGGCCCTCGGGATAAAAGGTAGCTGGGTGGAGGGAATTTAAGCTGATAAGAAGGGTGGCAGTGGTCGGGAGGTATGGGTCATCATGGTCGATGCATAAGTAAGAGACAGAGTGAGCCATCGGCAAGCTTGTACAGCCTGTAAGGCCCAGGTGAATTCGATTAGCTGACGACCCTCCCATGCCAATTGCCTGCTGAGGTTGGCCATTTTTTTTTTTTTTAACCATATTTTGACAGGAATACTGAGCTTCCATCGGGATGTTCGCCCAACTTAAAATATTATCTCTATTCAAGGCTTGTTCTGTCTGTCCTCTTTCGTCTAGTTCCTTTGTCAGTGGTCATTCACATGCACTCTGGGTGGCTCCACTGTTGCTCCACTGCATAATTGATACACTGCCATCTAGTATTGCTGTTTATCTGAAACTGGTTCTGCGTTAAAGCGAAACTAAAAACTAAAACATCAAGTTATACTCAGCATAATAGTTGTAGAATACTACCAAATAGCTACATGTTGACGCTGAAGCTTCAAACAGAGGGAAAGAGGAGGACAGCTAATTAAGACACCTGTGTTCAATTGACTGAAACATCTTTTCATTGAATGTACATCACCTGCTAAAATATTAATACATCCGTATCAGTACGGGATTATCTCAAGCAAATGTCAAGTCTCTACTGAAATGATCTAATATCCGTGATTACCTGTGTGTTTATAAATCAATCTAAAATTTATTAGAATAATACAAAGTATTACACTGAATGAAAGTTTAAAGTATGTCAATGAAGTGAATCACACGCTACCTTATAAATTCATGTTCTTTAAAAACTATTTTGCCATTTTATAGGGTCCTGTTTTACACACACATACTGTATTGTCATGTATTTATAGATGATTGTCCCGTATTTTGTATCTTTGTATATCATTGTATATTTTGTATTTTGTGTTTTGTATCATAGATTTGTCAATTATCGTTACTGCCAATGTTCTGTATCTTGATGTTACTGTATCACAAGTTATGCTATGCTTCCCGTCCCTTAAGTGAGTCACGTCGCCAACATGCTTAATGTAATTTTCGAAGTCATGGATACATACCTTGTGTATTTTACCCTCCTCGGTGCCAACAAGGTAGAGATAGTCGATCTGTTTGTGGAAGTCAAACGCTGTACCGCAGGCTGTGGACAGGAGGCATCAAGCACTTAAATTAGACACGCACTGTTACAGACAGGTGCACCAGACTCAGTCAAATCTGATCTGATGTCAGGTGACATTTATTGTGTAAGCACTTTGCATGAGTAATAGCTGTTAAAATTGTATTGTAATTGCATACATTCTTACATACGTTCACAAATTGACATTGTGGGTAATGGAGACCTTACCGATGCCAGGCTGCTGTGCACCTCCTGGCCCCTCAGAGACGGCTCCATTTAGTCTGATAATGTCTGTGAAGACCAGCTCATTCTGCAAGCATGCAAACACACCGTGACACAGTAATATATATACTGTACACATATTCAAATGAAAACAAACATAAACTATGGCAAATGTGAACAATCACACAGGCAGACTTGTACAGAGTGGACACAAAACACATGTAATTAGCCTCTCAAAAGTTTCATTATATTTAAATTATACTGAGATAACGGAAGAGAAAATGACCTTAGTTACAGAGAGGATGAATAAATATAATGCCTCAGCTAACCTTGACGAGTGTCCAGGACACAACTCGGCCATCAGATGACACGGAATAGAAATTGTGGTTATTGTCCATGTCGTCTTTCTGCCAGCGCACCTGAATTAAAATAAATAAATAAATAAATCTATTGAAAACAGAAGAAAATAGTTGAAATTCTCAAACCTAACATGAAATTCTCTGTCAGGTTAGGGTATCGTAACTCGTCATGGCTGCATGTCTGGTGTTTGAGAATGTATTAGTCCGCTTACACTTCCAACTAACTGATTTAGGATAGCTCTCAAAAACTAAATACACACTCTGAACTCCCATCACCTCTACCTTTGCCCCCTCCTCTCACCTGCCAGACTGGGTCCGTGTGCTTGCCAGTCTTAGCTGTACTCTTATACACAGGCTCCAATCCCTTCTCTTTCAAGCTGTAGACAGCCACACAGCCGTCATAGAAGCCTACCGCCACCAGGTGGGGATACTGCTCGTGGATGTCGAGGCACAGGACGCCAGAGTCTGTGGGGTAGATGTACTCCGGGAAGGTAGAGCTCTTCAATGAGTAGTGCACAAGCATCCCACGCCCCTGCTTACTGAAGTCGTCTGGACAGCAGAGGGCGAGAGGAGAGGGGACGGGAGGAAAGGTCAGGTCAAATATCTCAGAATAGAAATGCTAACATAACTTATCACTTGAGAATTCTCATTAACTACTTACACGATCCCATTCCCACGGCAAAAAGGTCCTGATATTTCTTATTCCTGTTGAGGACAGGCGCACCAATTAGTCATCTGCCCTTCTTGTAACAGCAGGAGAGATGTACAAACCTTGAAATGCAAACACTGATAATTGAGGTATACAATCAATGACGTCTTTAAAAATCTAGACAGGAGGGCAGTCACGATTACAAATTCCCCCAAAGAATAATAATGACCATCATTCTAAGTGAACGTTAACAGAGTTGTTCAGCAAACCTACCAGCAGAGGGCAGTGACAGACAGTCCTTTGGCTTTGTCATATTGAAACTTCCACAAGGGGAGAAGAGTGCCCTCCTGGCCCCTGAACGCATCAGATGCGTCCTCAAAGTATTTGAAATCTGAAAGGGCATGAAAGGCGAGCAGGGAGAAGAGCATCTGGAGCAACTTCAGATTGTAGTTCATCATTGTGTGTCACCTGACAGATGTACTTGAACATACCTTGTGCTATGTCATCAAAAATATTCTGATGGACCATTCGTTCCAAGATCTTAGCCGACTTTTTCACTTTGGTGATGTCATCGCTCTGTAACAGAAACATAGACTTTGCCGATATTACATTACTGTGGCCAGCGTGACGTATCTTGATGTTACTGTAAATTATGCTTTGACCGTCTAAATGAGTCAGCATTGTAATCAGATGTAACTGTGCTACGATGTTAGATACATGTTAAAATTAGGAAAGGGTGAGCACTCTATTTACCTGAGTTTCCATCAGCATCGGTTTCTTCTTGCTTTTGTCAGTATCCTTCTTTGAAGCCGCAGCTTTCTGCTTTTCTTTATTTTTTTCTTGTTTCTGCAGCTCCTCCACATAGGCATCGTAGATCTCCCACTGCAGAGAGAATAGAGTCATTACAGGCGGCCCATGTGAGCGCAAATGTTCACTGATGCTCGCCAGTGCGACAACAAGCCTGGCCTAAACATCTCTTTTTAAACAAGTCGGGGAATTCAGTACCTGATTAGCAGTGGCAGCAAAGATGCTGCGTGGAGGAGGTTCAGTCTGGCAGCTTCTTTCCTACAGGAACATTTTAAAAAAGGCATTCAGCTATGATTATTTTATTATACATCAATATTGTGTTTTTCATACCCTCCAATATTCAAACTTTCCTCTGTGAAATGTTAGATATCCCAACTATACTGTGTAAAAGATGCGTGTTGAGATTCTCCTCCCTACCCTCAGTGGGTTATTGAGGGTCTGGGAGGCCCTCTCACTGAAGTTGAACTGGTTAGTAGCTTTTGGCTCCATGTCTGCTTTGGAGGCAGCACTGTCTGGTCTGTCCTCTTCTCCCGCTTCATCCACTTCTACAAGTGTGCCCTGTGGAAATCCAACAGGGGAAAGAGTTGTAGCTCAAGTTATACTCTTGGTTAAAATAAAAATAATAATAAGACCAGTGCTCTGACCAGGGTGTCCGGTTTCTCCTCATCGGGTTCTGTTCCAGTGTCGACCGTTGCAGTCTCTGGACAGATTAGAAACATGAAATCATGATTTGACTGTCAAGAAAACAAACACCTTACTCTTTTCTGTATAAACTCTGAGCCTTGTCTTCAATTTTATGACTCATGTTTAAAGGGACACCTTGTGGCACCAATCACGTACTACACCAGGGAGGAAAACATCACCACATACCACAAAACACTATGCAACACAGAGTGCAGTTGTTATGGAAGAGAATAGTATGTTAGCCTTTGAATGTCTAACAAAGAGTAACTGTGATTTGTAAACACAGAATGCAGCATGTTTCAGTAGCTACCCTTGGGGAGATCCCCCTTGGCCCTCAGTCTACGAGCCTCATCAGAATCTTGATGCACGAGGCTGCCCTCCAACACGAAGAGAACAGCCATCTGATCCACAACACCGATGGGCTTGTAGGCACGTTCCTGGGAAACACAATGAGCAATGATGTGAGGAACAGCGAGCAGAGGAAACCTGTTAGTTTAGCTTGTTTGTGATATTACAGCGATGCATCTATAGCGAGTGTGGTAAAGTAATGCGCCTGGATATAGCTTTGTTACCTTGAAGCTGTAGTGGACAATATTTTGTGGAGCGTGTGGGTTGTTTGTAGTCAGGATCCTTGTGATTTCCTCATTCAGCTCCTAATGATAACAGTATAGATAAAGCAGAGCACATAGCAGCGCAGGGTACGCATGCCTGACTCATTTGGCCAAGGTTGCAAAAATAATGTTTAAAAGATGATGATGAATTACTCTAGTTGGGGGAAAAAAAGAGAATTAAGCAACAGCAGCAGAGTCTGAGCCAATTCCCCCAACACAGCCTGTCATAAACCTGAGCAATGAAGATGTCTTACAGTCTCAGTGAGCTCCAGTTGATCTGGGGGCTTAATGAGTCCTTTCCCATGAGACCAGTCGTCCGTTATCCCATCACCGTTATCCACAGCTCCCTCTTCCTCATCCTGGAATGGTAAACAAGTAACGTCAAGCTGCAACATGTGTTTCTCGTTGTTCTAACTATTGCAGCCAAATGCCCAAAACTCTGAACTTTCAGGCATTTCTGGGATTTGGTCCCATGTTTGTGTGATTTGGAAGTGCACACACCTTTTTCTTAGCTGCAGCTTTGGTTGGCTTTGCACCAGGTAAAGCTGCCTTCTGCGCAGGTACGCCCTGTGCGCAAAAACAAATGAAAAACGCTGCTAAATCAGCGTCAGGTTAGTGATTGATGACGCTAGCTAAACAAAGTTGTCATTTACCTTTTTCATCGTCGCTGCAGCGTTACTGATAGACATTGAGAGAAGAGTCCGTTTTAATGTCTTCCCCGCAATCTAGCTCTGTCAAAATACAGTACAACAACACAAAGTAAAAAAAGAAAGCTTACATAGTTAACGTTAGCTGTAAACAACACGAGACTAGCTTTGCAACAGCCTGCTGCTGTATACAGGTTACCAAGACAACCAGCAGTCTCGGCCTGTCAGTCATTAATGAGGGCAAATATCCTAAATCAATCCAGGAAAAAAGAAGGTAAGGGTCCTAATATAATCCAGAAAAAGAGGACGAATATGTTAATATAATCCAGAAAAAGAGGACGAATATGTTAATATAATCCAGAAAACAAGAAGGCAAATATCCTAAAATAATCCAGAAAAAGAGCAAAAATCCTAATATAATTCAGGAAAAAAGAGCAAAAATCCTAATATAATTCAGGAAAAAGAGGGCAAAGATCCTAATACAATCCAAAAAAATCCGTTTTTCCAAATTGTAAATTGTTGCACTGATATTTTAATTGTATCAACCGATTAGAGCATTTTATACGCTTTGAAAGCCACACACCTACGTTTTTAACTTTTGAAACAGCGTTTTGTTCCATAGGGGTGCTGTTTGTACATTTTTGAGACCACAATACGTTAAGATTGAAACAAATAAATGTTTCTATTATGTTGTATGATATCATACTGCAGTGTAGACTAAAAGGGTGGCTATATTTCCCTGAAATGAAACACACATGTGCAATGCCACAAACATATCGGTACGTTAAGGTAATCAATAAACAGTATTATATTAATATAGATTACTACAAATGTTTTTATTAGTAAAACATTTAAATTCACCGTCAATGCACGGAATTACTCCCCTACGCATTTCAGTGCGATCTCCTCTGTGATTGGTCGGACTCCTTATTAATATTCTATAGACCCGGAAGTGGGGCGGTGCTGCTGTTTTGCTGTCGAGTCACCTCTGTCAGGATGGAGGAAAACGAACTGCTATCATGCTGAAAAACGAAGGCTCCCGACAAACCGAGCATCATCTACCGGGATAGTGAGACTCAAGTCACCGCTTATCTTTGACTATTGCACCGTTTCTATGTTAAAAATTATGGAAGAAATCGACCGGTTCCAAGTGCCCCCAGTCAACGGAGAGACTCAGCCTTTGGTGAGAGAGCAATGACAAAAACAACATTTATTTTTTTGCAAATAATTCTATTGAATGCAACATTTTAGTGTCGCTCGTGGGTTTATATTGACAGCTGTGTGACATATAATCTGCGTGTGTGAGCTAACCGATAGCAATGTACAGCTTTGGCACAAACTGAGCCTTTGGGATGGGTGTAGATTGATCTTCTATAGATGAAAGGATAACGTCATCTCTCTTTATCCAGAGAGTGATTACATAAATAATACATATAAGGATTAAATAATAGACAAGCATTCACTTTACTGTATCCTAGTAGTTAAACCACGCATTTGACTAAAATCATGTTGTTGTTGTTTCAAATCTACGTATCAATAGACGACATAGCCTACTGTTTTTTTTTTTTTTTTAATTTTTTTAAATTTTTTTATTACATTTCGTCTTTTGGTGACGTGTTATTTGGGGTCGGGATGGCTGTAGGTGCTGTGAGCCCAAATGATCGCGTGAACAGGAGCTCCGTCCACACCGATACTGCAGACTGCAACCCTTCAGGATGGCTAGCCCGAGCAGGCCCATAGTAAGAGGATATAGTCTCTCCTTCCATGCTTTCTTATTGGACACAGACCTGCCAGTACAATTTACAACAGATGCACTTCAAACAGTAGCCAGTCATGACATTAATGTGTTCTGTGCTTAGTTCTCTATCGTGCTGTTCATCACACAAGGGGTCTATTTCTCCAGGTTTGAATGCAAGGCCCAGCCTGCACACCGGACAACATCTGAAATGATAAATAATGGCCACCAATAACTTACTGAACCACTGCTCTAATTCCCTACTTTTCATTTTGAGTTGAGCTTAATATTACCATGTGCCAGCCTTATTCTGCATACTTCAAACAAAGCAGTCTCAAACAGCTGTCCCCTTTTTTTTTTTTTTTTTTTTTTTTTTTTTTACTTTGTAAGTGTTTGCCTTCGGGTTTCAGGCAAATGCAGAGCTCCAAGTTCTACTGTTCATTATAGTACCCGTGCTTCCCCAGCCCTCCTACCCCTGAGGCTAAACTCCAGCAGAAATCACAGAGGAGCATACTTTCTCTGGTACAGAAAGTCTCCTTTTTGCCTCTCCTTTATGACGATTTGATTAGTCTGCTCTCATGTTTCATCCAGTGAGATTTCTGTGGAATTCAATCCAATATCAGAGATACTTGGATTGTGGCTGCGGTGTGTCTGTTACAAATGGTATCGTTCATTCCTTATCATGCAATTACTTATTATCCTCCTAAATGTTACACCTGCTATCTGGCAGTCCCAGCCTCTGAAACACACTTTCCATTCAAACCATGTCTGATTGTGTCAGAATCACAGTTTGCTGCGGCACAAATGGATGTGTATTATAATGCTAATAACTTCATTGTGATTGCTAAAAAAAAAATGCATGAATACACCTGGCACCTGCCTCCTTGTTGAGAATAGATTCCCCTCAAATACAACAGCTTTTTATAGACAATGGAGTAGAGGCGCATTGCTGGCTCTTTTGTGGTGAACGATCACATACAGGTGCTCTTTGGATCCCTCAGGTGTGCTGCGCTTATTCCATCTTGTGACGAGCTCAATGCATCGGTGGAAAATGGTCATTAATAAATGCAAAGCCCCCTTGGAAACTGATCCAAGCCACACTGTAGGGTTTGTGCAAAATACATTTTCTACATGGCAATATGTATTTAAAAGGACCCTGCTAACAGTGACCCTGAAATACATATTCCCATGTAAAATAAAGACATTTTGAGACCATATTCCACCCATGAAATCAGCCCTTCTTATGATGGAAGAATCTTTTTTTATAGAATTTTGAGTGATTGTCTATTATCTTCTGTTTCACGCATTAGATTGTGAATGTTAACTTGTAGATAATTTTTAATCTGCACTAAATTTAAGTGATTTTTCTGAATGAAACGTGGTCTCTCAAAGAAACGACCCTTTTCCCAAACCGGCCCATCATTAAGCACAAGGACATTTGAGAGTGATCACTGTCGCCTGAATCTAATTATGAGACATTATCATAAGGATAACACGCAACTGTTTTAATGGTCACCTGATCTATCAGCCGACACTGCTATTGGCCAGTGGGAGGCCGGGGTGTGTAATCCCACCAATGGCTCGGTGTCTGTGCTGTGTCAGCGGCCTTGTGGCTCTTCATCATCGGAGGCAGTAAAGGAGTCTGAGGACATGCTGATGAAACGGATACACTAAGAGGGCGTCTCATTTATATGTGTGTGTGTGTGTGTGTACACATGTTCTCTTGAGTGTGTGTGTGTGTGTGTGTGTGTGTGTGTGTGTGTGTGTGTGACCATGAGTGAGTGCAGGTGTATTTGAATGCATGTTGAAGGTCAGGGCCAGTGGCCCTGTTTGATTTTTACATACATCAAAATCAATGTGTCACTCCGTCTGTCACAGGCCAGCTCGCAAATCATTGGTGAGTTACTGTCGGGGAACTATAGGCTATAAATACACGTTTTAAATGGCCCATCTTGCTTTGGCTTCAGCTAACTGCTGTGACTGACATAAGGAGTTATTTTGTAAATTTGTGAACCTTCTGGTAGCATTTCTTAAAGCCAAACTCTGTAGTGCTATAGTGTGAGCTGGTCTATTTTAAGATGAACTCTATCTTGTTTATTATGGGCTTCCCGCTACAGTTGCTATAAGTAATTTACTCGTCTTATGTTCAAGATGAGGCGGTGAATTCTGTCCCGTTCGTCTTAGTACCGAGTCCCTTTCATTATTAACTGCCAGCCCTGCTGGAATATCTCAAAGGGATTTACTTGACAGACAATATGACCCTACCTCATCACAGTATCTGTCCGAGGTGGAAGGGAAGTGTGAAAAAAACAAGAGTGGAAATAATAAATCCTGTGGGTAAGCCTCAATGATCCAAGGGAAGGGCCTGTCGCAGGACAGAAGGAGCTCGTGTTTGTGCTTGTTACTGTGGGAATGCCTCATCTGTGTGCTGTGTGCTTTCATCGCTCCATACTCGTCACTGTTGCAGCTCTCATTAATTATTCCAGTTAAATGGATGATGCTCCCTTGCCAGATGAGACTACTGAACGCATTTAAGGTGTATTTGGCCGCAGTGCACTTGCTCTTGTAGAGAAATGGAAGGAGGTTACTCTTCTATCACATTAAGAGATGGATTAGTCTGGATGGCTGCTGAGAAAACATTTAAAAGATACAATATCATCCTTTTGCTCTGATGACAATGGTGTCATTTTGTGCTTTAGTTCATTTAGTTTGCTCGTGCGTTAACTAGACATCACTTGTGTCTAAGCGTGTTGTGTTTTGTTGTTTTACCGTTTTTTTTATGTTCTTGACGGCTTGTTTTTTAAATGCGTTACATGAAAATTGATATTCTCACTGTCCCCAGCTAAATACTCATGCATGTTTTATCAGGCCCTGTGGGATTGAATAAGCTCTACTGGTCTCATGGAATTGGCCTAAATTCATATAGTACAGATATATACTATTATTATAGTATACTGTATATCTGTGTCTAGACCTATATATTTAGAAATCCCATCAATCCCCTTGCATCTTTAAAGACACTCTAGTTTTTAATGAAGAACAGTAGCGTAATGTATGTAAGTATAAAGCAGTGATCTGAGCCGATATGAATTTTTCAACTTTAACTGTAAAATAATCAAATAAAAAGTTTCCTCTCCAGGTATTTAACTGCTTGAGGGATAGTTTAAACATAGCAGCCATTTCTCTGGAGAGAATACAGAGTTACTAAAGGCCCAAATGTCTGGTAGTCCACGTGGAGACCCTCAGAGGTCTACAAGGGGGGGACTGTAGGACCAACATAATGTGGAGCTCTGTCAGCTCCCCTCTCTCAATCTGGGGAAGCCGTGGCTGCAACAGCAACCCCCTCTGTTCTCTCACGGCCTCCTCCCTATGTCATCGCTGCTCAACACATAAAAGAGACGGAGCCAAGCACATAGCCAGAACACTCGAGCCTATTGATGTAGAAAAGCAGGCAGCTATAGTAGCACATATAGGCTCGGGGAATATCGCCAGGGTACTGGACACAAGCAGGTTCTGTAAATAAATATTAAAAAAGAGCTGATTCTCTGTGCTGTGTGGGCCTGGTGATAAATCAGCTAGTGGCTCTCGGAGTTGATTGTGCCCTCAGGACTGTGTTCAATTTCAGCTGCCCAGTGGAAGTATAACACAAGTCGATTTTGAATTGTATTACCAGAAACAACTTGTTTAGTTTAATCCCTGTCAGCCACTGAATTAGCAAACATCTATGACGAGACGATAACATATGAAGTTAGTTCTTAGTGTTGTTGTTTAGGTGTATCAAAGCTGACATACTCTGTACTGCGCCTTTTTTATTTTTTTTTTTACATTTTTATTTTTATTTCTAGGACCCAGCAGCGTCCTCCACCTCAGAGGCAGACGCTGACACCAAGGGAGAGAGTGTGACCATGAACTACAAGCCCTCACCACTGCAAGTCCAAATAGGTATCACAAGAAAACACATCGCAAATCAATGCACAACTTCCCGCTTAATAATCGAGGTTTAACAGTGAGCAGAAAGAAAGTCCTTGCAGAATGGAAATAACTCAACACATGAACAAAATATTTGCTCTGGGCTACAGCAAGTATGCAGATTTGTGTTAAGGCATAAAAGGTCAAATTAAGCCCAAACATGAGTTTGAATCCAGTACCATAAGATATTCACAGAGAGTACTCTCTGTTAGTGGAATTATATTCCGCAGCATTGCAACACTGTGAAAGCCTTCGTCACACTTATTTATTTGGTCCTAAGGGCTCTGTTCCAAACAAACTCCCTAGTCAATATCTACAAAATGTTCAGTTTGTCAAAGGATAATAAAACGTATTTCAATTTAATAAAGGTGTTACTTGTGCTGGTTGTAGAGGCTGTATACTGTGTAGCAGTTGTACAGCAGATAATATGACTAAAAGTCTGTTTTTGTTCTGAACATATTTGATTGCTTTCTGCAACAAACAAAATCATATAAATCGACATCTGACGCTCATGAAGGTGAGCTTTATTGATGCATTTACTGATGACCTCACACCCTGTGGTTGCCCAGAGAAACAGAGGGACCTTGCCAGGAAGGGATCAGTGAAGAATGGCACCGTGGGGAGTCCTGTCAATCAACAGCCCAAGAAGAATGCCAGGACAAGGTAACGGCTTCCACTGCCTCCTTGTTCCCTGTTGTGTTGACCACCTCGACCACAAATGTTACACTTTGCAGCAATTAGCATCTCAACATGTTTTTTTTGCCTGCTGGGGACGCCGTCAGACTTCCTAACGTTACAACAAAATGCTCAACACAGCTTTTTTGTGGTGTGAATGGTGATAATCGAGTCGGAGCGCTCAGCATTAACCCAGTGCAACCAACAACACTGACAACTGGCTCATCTGTCTAATCCCACTGGTGGATTAGTGGAAATATAAGAAAGGCTACCGACTGGTCTGGGAAAGATAATCTAGAAACAGTCTGAAGGCTACAGATTAGCCCCAGTTTGTGTTTCTTCGTGGCCTGTAAGAAGAGCACCACGTTTGTGTTGCATTTTCAAGTCTTCTGTGTTGTGTCTGCGCTCATCTTCAGGTTGGTGGTGCCAAACAAAGGCTACTCCTCTTTAGACCAGAGCCCGGATGAGAAGCCCCTGGTAGCACTGGACACTGACAGGTATGTATATCACGTAGTACATGTTCTCACACATTTAGAAGAACAAACGTTTCAGGCCGACTTAAAGGGAGCGAACGGGATATATTTGCTAACTTTGCGGTTTTTTTGTCGGTCTGACTCTGCCGCCGGATTGCGCATTAATCCATAGAGCAACTTGAGAGAGTTCTTAACAGAAGGGATCCTAAAAAAAGGGGACAAAGCCTCTCCCGGGGCATGGGATTAGAGGATAGCAGGGTGAGGATTTGGGCAGGGAAAAGCGGCTCAGTGGGAGTGCTCGCTTCCCCCCCCCCCTTGTACCAGCAGCATCTGCGTTTGACACATATGAGTCCCACCCTTTGTGCCCTCCTCTGTATGCTGCTGCACGAGGGAAACTCTCATGTGAAATGAGAACTCTGGAAGCCCACCGAGCTTACATCATGTATTGCTTCATACACGCCCTCTGACAAGCTTTCTGACTCACAGCAACACAGGACACCAGTTTGTTTATTGTCCACATTTTAGACTCGCGTGCAGAGCCTCTTGGACAATGTCGTTCTGTTCGTTGTTTACAAGGCAGTTTGAAAGGCAGATTATTCATTTGGAGGAAAAAGCCTGTTTGGTGCATTAGCCCGATATTACTATTTATTTTTTTAAATGTTGTTATTCTCCTGTTTGTTGTTCATTCAGCCTCACTGGAAAAAAAGCCAATAATTTAGGAATCAAGAGACTGCAGCAGATTATCACTGTTAACTGATATTATATATCTATAATCTATAAAAAACCCTGATCATGTACAGACTAAATAACCTTCAATAACCCCAATAGTGAATCGAATTCTACAGCAGAAAGTCTGCATCACAAACTGGAACCACAGAGTTGAAAGACGTGGGCATTTAGCAGGCAGGAAGCGTTGCATCATGGGAAACGTAGGATCCAGCATTTATTTTTTATGGATTGACTCACACTGTGAATAACAGTCAGGATATCTCAACCTCTGCTGCTTCGATTTAACCGTTCTTTAAAAGTCTGATTCTCCGGAGTCTCCCAGCAACATTGAATTGTTAGACTTCTACTTTAAACATTCAGACATCGTGTCTCACTGTTACCTTTTTTGAGACGCGTCTGTCTTAACTGCTGATGTTGCCTGTCTTTCAGTGATGATGACTTCGACATGTCCAGATACTCCTCATCAGGATACTCCTCAGCCGAGGTGAGATGTCTGAGGGACCAGGTATCTATACACGCATTATACTGTTTCACAGCGTCATTTGGTGAATCCACAAACATCACCACCTTGATCACCCAGTTCCATTGTCACTCCACTCACACCAGGTATATGTGCACCCGTCTGAAATACACCTTTGCTGGCTCCTCCGAGGACTCATAGTCACAGTCATCCGTAAAGACTTTTCCATAGTTCTCATTCAAATTCCTTTTCATTTCTCCCGCTTAGAGTAGAATCTTTTTTGTTGTTGTGCTTCTTGCCTTTCCCCGTTGCCACCTGTGACCTGCCTGCACAATGATCTTTCTGCCTTCTGTTTCTGTAAAATGTAATTATAATGAGATTTTTTTGAATCAACATAGGAACTAGTTTAACTAACGAGGTCGTTCCGAGCTGAAGGATTTGTCCACACTGTCCTGAAGCTCAGCTGATACTGTGTCTCCTCTCTTCTTCCTTGTGCAGCAGATCAACCAGGACTTGAACATCCAGCTCCTGAAGGATGGGTACCGGCTCGATGAGATCCCGGATGACGAGGACCTGGATCTGATCCCCCCAAAAGCGGTCAACCCCACCTGCATGTGCTGCCAGGCTGCTCCCTCCACAGCCTGTCAAATCCAATAGTCCGATCCCCCCCCCCCCCCCCCCCCCCCCCCCCCCACCCCCCCCCCCCCCC